AAAAAAAAAAGAATGTATATTCCTTAAAAAAAAATAATGAATTTATAGTACTACATAAAATTACCAATTAAAATATTACATTATGGGGGTCGGCAAACAATTAATCATTGTAGGCTTTAAGTTTCTTAATTAAAAAGATGGCAAGTGGTTCATTGCATTATCGACCCACAGCTTCTAAAAACCACTTTGGTCAAAAAATTGAAATTGGGTGTCACTTTTGAAGAGCTTGATGTTGAAGTTTCAAATTTAAAATTTTTTATTAAAATTTTGAATTTGATGAATTTTTATTAAAAAACTCTTAATAATTTTTTTTAAAAAAAAAACTTATGATTCAATATTGTTGTAAAAATTTTATTAAAAATTATCTATATTAATTTAAATTAAACTAAATTATAAAATAAAAAACAGATCCCTTAGATATTGGAGGCCTACCCCTAGTCCATGCTTTATTAAAACAATCTTTCTAAAAAAGCTAATCCGCCAATTAATTGTTTACCAAAAGCTGCCATGGAAAGTCGCAGGTATCTGCTGTATCTTATCCCAGACTCTGATTCATGCAGCTGAATCAGTAACCATAGAGTGTATAGCTGCCAAATAAATGCCAGTGATAAACATGCAATTCCCCACGTCCTGCAATCAATTTTAAGAGTTTAATATTAAGAATTTAATTAAGATACTATTAATTTTAAAATTTTTAATTCCACAAATAAAAATTCATGAGTTAAGGAAAAATTAATTTTCCAGGAGGAGGCATTTACAATGGAAAAGGTAACAGAGCTTATCAAGTTTCGATCTTTTTTTGGGTTAAAACTAATATTTTTTCGGATCTTGATTGGGACTTATGGCTGTGATCGCTAAAGGAAACTTGTAGGCAGAGGAATAAGTCTTTGACTTTATTACTCATAATCTGATTTTTTGTGGGCTAGAGTAATGAAATTGTAAATTGATACTGTAGAAATTATTGTTTTGTAAACAGGTTTGAAGTACCTCTTATAATCTCATTAGTAAAAATTCATTTTTTTCAATAAAAAAAAAAAGTTTGATCTAGTGTGTTTGGAGACGTACCAGCCTAGGGAAGTGAAAGCAAGAGGAAGAACAAGTGCTTGAAATCCAATTCCGGAGCTCAGTGTGTGGAACGCCGAGTAGTAGGCGTTGCCATTTCTTGACTCGGTAATGGGAAGCCAAGCGTCCTGAGGGTCAAGCTTGGTCAAGTGTCCAACTTCTTCCAAGTAACCTTGCACGCTGGCAATTGCCTTCTTCATGGGGCTGGCTAAAGGAGTCATCAACCTTGCCGGGAAGGGACTCCTGGGGGTTTTTGGAACCGAATCAAGCAGCGGAGATCGAGCCATGGATGGGCAATGGAGTTGAAGTGGTGGCGGCGTGATAGCCGGCTGCCGCCTTTCCATCCATGGACTAGATTTCTCTTCGTCTATAACCTCTCCCATTTCTAGTTCTAGTTCAAAGTCGCGTCTCTTTTTGGCCAATTAAGGCCAGGGTATGTGCCTATATATAAGGCTTTGCTAGAACATTGAGACAATGAAATTAAAGATTAAATATAAACTAGGGTAAATAATACTTCAGTCCTCAACCTTTCAAAATTGAGCAATCAAGTTCTCGACCTTTCAAAACTTTGCAATAATTTAATCCTTTTTGTTAATAATCAATTCTCTTAAATCAATGACTAGTTAATTTTTCTTCAAACTTTGTGGTATTTCAATTCCCAATCTAAAGTGTCCATGTGGCAACAACTCAGACTTTAAGATCTTAGTTTTATGAGTTAAGCATGCCTTTGCAAGTGATTCTAAAGAATGAGGATGGGAGTAAATAATATTAACTCCAAAATAAGAAAAAAAAAAAAAAAGAATAGAGATTAATTGGTTGCGAGTTTGTTCGCTGTGGAGGCTGAGTAAGTGAGGCAAAACTTTGACCGTCCCCAGCAAATGGCTGCTGTTATTTTATGTAAAGGTAGCCAAGCCAATTAGTGTAGCACATGGTATCATTCACCTTTCATCAGCACATCGATCTCCCTTTCCTACGTAAGAAATGCATGACTTTGGTCTCATATATGAAGTAATGGAGCCCGTATTATATGATGATTACACATAAAATTAAGATATTTATCGATACATATTTTCGTTTTTAACACACTTATTAAAAATTATTAGTTTTCAATATGAAATTAAAGACAAACAAACTTAAAGATGTAGTCATATATACACAAGATATATGAATAAGTTGAATAAACTATATTTATAATATATTTTTAATAACCAAATTGGACGAGTGTTAAAAAAATATATTGAACAAAGTATATGTCAATTATTTTCCATCATATTAATCTTCTTCATTTTATTGTCTGTATCAAAGAATATTCTATCAGATCAATCAATAATTATTGTTGATTAATTGTGCTTTTTTGGGTAACCAAAAAATTAATGTTGATATGAAGCTTTGATTAAGTTAATCAGACCAAAAGTTTATGCAACTTCATTTCATATATATGTAACATAAAGTAGGGCAAAGTAGGGCAAAGTTTGACTAACTTCATGTGGGTGTGGTGTGTGGTGTAGTCTTTTTTTTTTTTTGGTGAAAATGTGTGGTGTAGTCTTTGTGGGATGAATATAGAGACTTATGAAAAAAGAGAATAGATCGGAAGGTTTGGGGAAAATCCTAAGAAGGGGATGGGAAATGACTCAGGATTTCAAAACAAAATGAGGCTGATGTATAAGGGTAAATAAAGAGAATCATGTGTCATCATTTTTGTTTTTATTTTTCCTTTATTAAAGTTGTTTTCAAAGCTTTCTCCTTTGCCTACTCCTTCGCACAAAATTTTCGACATTTTCTTTCATCCCCTACTAAAGGAAAGACATAGGTACATGTTCTTGACTTGGTAGGGGCATTTCTTTTGAGGTTAAGACCCACGATGGTAGGGGCAAATTAATAATGCACGAGTAGTTGCGCCAGGCAATAAAAATGTGCGGTTGACATTTATTGTGCTTTTCCCTTTGGATAAATTCTTTTTTTAGCTTATTATTGATTCCATTCAACTTTTATTTTTCTTAATTTTTTAATTTTTAAGATATTAATTTTAATAAAAATTTAACAAAAATATATAAATGATAATTGGTAATTTTTATTACGTAGTTTAATTTGATCAAAAATAATTACTATAAATTTTTATACTCTGTATGAGTATGTTTAGAGGCAAAGTTAGGCTTTGAGATAGGAGGCCAGATTTGTTGACATCTAAATTAAACTTGTATCAAAGTATTATTTCTTTTGGTAATTTGTTTTAGCTGAGTTAATTTAACTTTTGCGTAACATTTGATTTGATGAATTTATATAATAAATATATGATAATTGAAATTTTTTTTTATTAAATACTTTTAAATAAATAAAATTTTTTTCCCATTGTTAATCATTTGTTATACAAAATTATCAAGTTAATTAACATGAATTTTATGAAGTAGGAAAATTAAAAAGCACTATAGAGAGTAACACATAGTTGTAAAATTATAAACTTGTATATAAAATTAATTTAGCCATGTTCAGTGTGAAATATATTGTACTTAATTAAAATTTTTGGTGATCAGCGGGAGAACAAATATATATAATAAAACACTTCTAAAACAATATGTAATAAATTTAGAAATATATCAAAAATTGATTTAGCAAATGACAAATAAAATAAACAGATTTGATTCAATAAAAAATTATGAGTTAAAGATAAAATTTTAATATTTAACCTATTAAAAATAGATATCAATAATTAAAATAAATATTTTAAACTACCTTTAGGTACTACAAAAGTCGATGATTTTTTTAATCAATAAAAGACAAATTTTATTGTAGGGAGTGCAAAAAGAACACTCCTATTTATTCCAAAATTCAGTTCGAAAACAAAACCAAATCCAAAAATTAAATATTCCTTAATCCTCAAACAAGTGCCCAATAAAATTGTAGAAGGGAGGATCGGAATAGAACAGGAGAGAGGCCAGGGTAGAGAAATGTTAAAAGTTTAGACATTTTCTAACTATTTTTTTAAAAGAAATATTAGAGAATAAAAGAAAATTTTTATATTTAATAAATTGACTTTAAAGAGTCACTAATTGTTACGTCAATATCATATTTTGAAAATAATGACAATATTTACAAAAAAAATTGATGATAATTATTTTCATAAATATTAAAAATAATTAAGTGAATAAAATAAAATTTAAAGATAAAATGTGCAGAATACAAAGTTTGAATACTGATTTTAAAACTTTTCAAAAGACTAGGGAGGGCCATAGCCCTACTGGTCTATTGATAGCTCCTTCACTGAGTACGTTATATATATATATATATATATATATATATTAAGAGGAGAGGGAAATCATAATGTCTTAATATTAAAAATTTTAAAATGTTTAATTACAATTATTAAATTATTAAGTGTGTGGAGTGTATGGTGTTCGGCCTAACTTTATTAAATGGTTAAACCTCTTTCTTGGTCCCTCAACTATTATACAGATTCTTAATTAAGTCCCTTAACTCAAAAATTTTTTGATTTGGTCTACACTGTTTATCATTTTTGCCTTAATTTGGTCCTTCCGTTAAAAATCTACTCACGTGTGCTGTTAAGTTATGGTAAAATGATGACACATCAAAATATTAGTCTACATGGAAGACAACATGGCAAAAAATATAGTGACATGGAAAAAATTAATAATATGACAAAAAACTTAAAAATTTCTTCTTCCTTTTTTTTTTTTTTTCATTTTCCTTCTCTGTCCCTTTTTCTTTCCCCCCTAGGTTCGACAAACCCAGGCTTTGGGTTCCTTGGAACCCATCGCCGAGTTCGATCGAACCCAAGTGTTGGGTTCCTTGGAACTCAACGACTGGGTTCAACGAACCCAGGTTGTGGGTTCCTTGGAACTCAACGACTGGGTTCAACGAACCCAGGTTGTGGGTTCCTTGGAACTCAGCAACTGGGTTCATCGAGCCCAGGCATCGGGTTCTAAGGAACCCAACATCGGGTTTGATCGAACCCAGACTCTAGGTTCTTTGGAACTTAATGCCTAGGTTCGATGAACCCACGGCTGGGTTCCTTGGAACCCGGCACTAGGTTCTTTCGAACCCAGACGTTGGGTTCTTTAACAAAAAAAAAAAAATTATGTGTTTTTGTGGGTATTGTTTGTTGATGATGAAGATGATGATGATGATGAATTGATTGATGAAGATGAAGAATTGATGATGAAGAATGCAAGGAAAGGAAGAGGAAGGA